CAGGAACAGATTGGTGGGAAATGATGGAATTAGGTGTGCAAGGGCACATAAAAAGTGATGCTATTTTATTAATGGTAGAGCAGAAGGTGATTAAAACTAGAGAGCTAGTTTAGTCCCTAAAGCAGACATGGTTACAGCTTGATAATAATATGTTTGTTAGCTGTCAGAATACTGAGGTTAAAATCAGAATTCTGACATTTTTCTCATATTATACTGATATAAAATTTAAAAATCAGTTACATTTTTAATATTTTTCCAGTGGCCCTATCATCTTCCGTATTACATTCTAAGTTTTGTATTTGTAGAATAAAATAATAATAATTATTCACAAGCACAAATTTTTTTTTACACCTGTGCAAATTTTAAGTTTTAACGTTGTTGTAAATGCTCAGCTAGAAGAGTCTATTTAAAACAGCCAGATTAGATTAAATAAATTGATGTTCGTTTAAATTAAATAAATAGCGTTTATGCAATGCTGCATAGACATTAACTTTATCAGGCTATTGCATTAAAGTCTCCAACAAATAAATTAATTTATTTAATCAATTTAAGTAATTTTTAAAGATATCATAATAAATAAAGTAATTAATTGAATATTGACATAATCATCAACTAATTTAGTAATCGATTAATCGTTAACTGGAGTATAGAGACTGTAAAACATGCCTTTATTGTTCTTTTCTAAGATAAAAATAATTTTGTTTGTCTGTATATCTATCCAAAACACTTTAAGTTGAAACGTTTAATTTTCACCTGGTTTACTTTCACAAAAAGTTGTCTTTCAGGAGCCTTTTGTTATCTAGTTATTAATTGAATAATCAACTGAGTTATCAATTTGTAAAATAGTCATTAGTTGCAGCCCTAAAATTAAGAAAAAAGGGTCAAACGTGAAAGCCAGCCATATAAAAAGAATGATTATGATAATTGAGCAATAATACTAGTAGCAGTATACAATTATTGCTACTAATAACTAATAATGATGAAAGGTGGAAAAATGAAAATATACAGTATGCATTACAATATCCTGAAAGATCGACACATGAAGGGACAGTACAGGCACTTATGATAATAAAGTGAAACACAATGGCTGAAAATAGCAGCTGCAAAAAGATGATTAATGGCAATTTGTAAGTGAAGCAGTTTTTTTATGTATCCAAATTTAATTTAAGGAATGATGATATTGGATTAATCTGGTAATTGAGAGATTTATACAAAAAGTATTCACACTTCTAGATAGATCATTTCTGGCTCCCCTTGTTGTTGAAAAACCTTGTATTTACCGTCTTCCTTTAAGATCACTATTCATAAGGCCTTATCATTTTTCTGTTTTTGTTATCTGCTACTGCAGTCCTGAAACGTCAGAAAATGTCAGAAAATGTTGCAACGTTTATTTTATCTTTATATTATACTTTATACTGTGTATAGTTAGTTCTTCAATTATAATTACTTTTTTTGTTTTAGACTTGCAATAACATTTCTCTCCAAAGCAGATTGAAACTTTTCATTTGCATGACTGTTTCTAAAATATATGGTTTGATTGCTAAAATTCAAGAAGGATCTTTCCATTGATTATTGAGAAGAGTTTAGATGATTTTTCTGATGATTAAAAATGCAAATAGAAATATATAAAACTTTTTTTCTGTAAAGTTATACTCCCTTTTGTTTATTGTATAGGATACAACCATTTAATACCAAATATAGAGGCTAAATTATCTAACCTAAAATTGTAACAAATTTTTTTTTCATATTTTTTTCATATATCACAAATTTTGAAATTCTTAATTTTTTTTTTTTTTTTTTTTTTTTTTTACTTTTTTGGAATCAATTCTTCAGAGCATTTTCAAATGGCTGATATATATCCCAAATATAGCATTCCAATGCAAATTATATAAATGTAAAATATTTTTGTCTGTTTTTTTTAAGATCCAATTTTTGACACATTTTTTATATCATGTTTTTGTTTTTTGACAAATCAGATACAAAGTTTGAAATATTGTTATTGGCATTTTTTTCTACCTCCTTCTTACCACTAAAAAGAAAACATTTCGATTTTTTTCCCCTTTATGTTTTATTTCTTACCTTTTTTATACAATGTTATCATGCCTTCAAAAATCGCCTTTAATGCCTAAATAACTGGGCAGTGTATTTTGTGTTAAAGACTGAAGGGCGTGGCTTTGAGAGTAGATGGGCGCGGTTTGTCCATGGGGCTTTTATGGCAAGCCATTTTGACATTTATCAGAAGCGCTGTCCTCCCTTACATTCTTTCTGATCAAAACTACATTCCTACTACTCATAACTATAAATATAGAATCCTAAATTACATGTTTTCCAGCGAAAAGTAAATGTTATACATAGATTTCATCAATAATCATTTCCGTACATGTGGTAATTTGTAATTTAGGAAAAATGTTAATTATGGATATCCACAACTTCATTGTTCCTAGTAGAACTGCAGCTCTAGATATCTTTAATTACACTTTTAGTAGTAATAATATATTTTAGATATCAGAAATAATACCGTAGATCAGGGGTGATTCTAGGACCAGAGGTTTAGTGGTGCTGAGTACCCAGGGAGCTGTCTGGATGGACAACATACATTTCACTGTTTTCTACATACATTTTGAAGACATCTTATCTGAGACTTTAGTGTTTTTCTTTCTGTGTTTTTGTCTTGTTGGACTTTTCCTGATCTTATATCTTGCTCCTCTCCTTCCCATTGTAAACCTCTCCCTCTTTGTGCTAGCAATCCCAAAAGGGATTTTATTTAACAAGGTAAATATAAACAGTTGTGCTTGAAAATTTAGACACACTCCACACCATAAAGAAAAGATCACATTGAGCCTGGTTCTGCTGGAGGTTTCTTCCTGTTCAAAGGGAGTTTTTCCTCTCCACTGTCGCTACAAGCATGCTTAGTGTGAGGGATTGCTGATGAGTCGATGCAATCAGCTGGTTTTGCTTGGATAGAAAACTTTGAATCAATTTGACTGGATGATCTGGTGGACTTGAAAGTATCTTGAGATGATATGTGTTGTGAATTGGCGCTATAGAAATAAACTGAATTGAAAAGGATAAATTCACAACAGTAATTCTAATGACAAGAAACTGAAAAAATATATACATTTTAATTTTTATTTGACGTTATTCCTTCAAGAGTTTAGTTTAGGAGCTCCATCCTGCTGGTTTAGCTGTTTTTTATAATGTATTATTATTTCTGTTGAACCACAATTAAAAATTAATTAATTGCTATTTCACTGGCAGCTGATTCTTTTCCCATCTTTAATAGGAGAGTATGTATATTCTTTGATTAATACATTTTATTATATTTTTTTTTTTTTTATCCAAGTACTGTATAATTTTTAGACTGTTCTATATTTAGTTTGTTTTTGTTTACTTTTTTTCAATATAAAAAGGATATAGCCTACAATATAAAAAAACAACCCACATTTTAGGGGTGCTATGATTTAATTTAATTTAAGGGTGCATCAGCACCCCCAAAAATGGTCTAAAAACGCCTATGCTTTAGTTATCTGTAATGTTTTCTTCATTATTGATATATATCTGAAATAAAAATGATAAGCAGTAATAATTGGATTACAAAGATCTGAAATTCATTTTTAGATATGCAGAATATTCAGATAATTTTAGATAAAAATATATGATCTTAGATATCTGGATATTCTTATCTTCAGCTACCCCAGTACACATGTCAGATTAAATAATACTACCGGTACTTATACTTCAACGATAGTATGAAGGTGTTTTTATTTTATAAATTTTTTTATTGTCGTCTCCCTTTTATCTCCTCTTTCTTTCATCTTTTTTCCTTTTTTCTGTTTTTCCTTTCCTGTTCTACTTACATTGCAGTGTCCATATAGTCTGTAAAACTCCCTGCATGAATTATAATAAAGCAATTTATATGAATAAATCAAACAGAACACTATGGTGATAGCCGTACTGCTCCACTTGTGAAAGTAAAATCTGTTGGGCTCTTTTTTTTTTTTTTTTTTTTTTGGCATCAAGACACTTATTCTTATTGCCAGGACAGGAAACTGTATAAAAATTATATCTGAAAGTAAACACCCAATACACACGAATTGGAAACAGGACTTAATTTGTACTAGTAATAATTACATTTACAGGGGCGGAGCTAGATGGGGGAGCAGGGGTGGCCACCCTTAGCCAATCATTGGCCACCCCTATTTTTTCCCCCTCTAATACAGATGGTGGCAGCAGTAATACTCTCAAGTGGAATATTAGAACATTTTAATTTTTCATATAGTAACAAATCCTTGAAAACAAAAACACTGTGGTTAATTATACACATCTATATGCAAACCTTAAAGATGATAAGTACAGAATTCATGCTCTTTTCAGAAGAAGATTTTGTGTTTTATGGGATAAAGAGAAAATTATGTGTCTCTGCAGGTCATCTAAGAGTCTTCCGTAAAAATTATTGATAACTATTTTAATAAAACCAATTAAATAATCAATTTATGTAGATATTAGTACTTATAAATATCAATTGTATGCAGAATGATTATTGATAAAAGTAGGTAAGTAATGACAATGGAAAAGATGTTTGCCCCAGAACTCAAACCTTATAGAACTGTATCCACTATACCTTTTATCTACAAAGCCCAGATGTTTAAATATTCATGCGTCTATTTGTCAGCAAAGGTTGTAGGAAAGCATAGTTTATCTTTGTTTAGAAAATATTGATGTTGTGTCCATTCATTTTCCTGTTGTAGATTAAGCCTGAGATCAACTTTCGGCCCCCCCTCAGTGTACATTGGTTAGTGCCTGGCCACCCTTAAAAAAATGTTCTGGCTACGCCTCTGTACATTCAATCATTTTATTCTAAGATATATGTTAGAGGGGATGTTATTTCAAATATCTGAAATGTTCACATTTTAACACATCCAGTCAAGCTAATAAATGCCATTACGGCCTGCCATACTTTAGTCGTTGTGTCGCGAGAGCATCACGTGAAACGTCCAGCTCACGTGATAGTTGACAACCAGCATAACAGGAACAAAATGGCTGCTACAGGGGATGAAGCGGCAGTGATGGACAGCATCTCCAGGGAACCAGCAGCCGTGTCAGCGGGGTTAAGTAGAACTGCTGGCGGCGTAGCTCAGGCTGAACGCTCGGAAGATCCACCGGAAGCTCCGTCTGTAGCTCCAAAGAAACCCGGAACTAACGGTGCGTTTCCTTGGTTTCCATCTATGCAATAAGTGTTTTGCTTTCCTCTGATGTGTGAAACCAGCCTTTCTATGGGCTGCTGATTTCTCCCAGTGTTAACTGAAGGCAGGAATAATCTGCTCCTTTTATTGTGTGCAGCTGATGGAGGAGTGGAGACTGCAGAGGAGGCTGTGGAGCCAGCAGAGCCAGACATCAATGAGCTTTGCTCTGATATGTTTGAGAAGATGGCCATTTTCCTGCAGGGGGAGCTCACAGGTGTTTGCTCAATGTTTACCAAATTCATTGTGGATGCTGTCTGCATGGATTTGTGCGTGTTTAGTCCAAAATGGGGCTGCATGGTGGAGCAAGCAGGGGCGGATTTAGGAAATTTGGGGCCCTAGGCAAAGACAGGCAGGGGGCCCTCTGAATTATATCGATATATATATATATATATATATATATATATATATGCCCATTGACTCGTTAAATGTTGTACATGCGCAGTAGCTCCTCAGGAAGTGTATTTGCTCACCACCTCCCACCGCAGCACTGATGTTTTGCAGGTGATTGAGGGGTCGAGTCGCGGGAGTTGGAGAGAGAAAGGGAGAGAAATGGCGCAAGAACCGTCCTTTTCCAGGACCTGGTTTAGCTTCTAGGCTAGCAGCATATAGCGAGGCAAACACTTTATCCTGCTTTCCCTGCCTCCTTTTTCAAACATCAGGATCTAAGCCAGCATGGATAAAGACAGCTAGGACTGATTTACAGCACTTTATAGAAAAGGCAAAGAAAATTGAACAATCTGAGATTCACATGAAAAATAATAGAATCTAGTCTACTTTTTCTAGCTGTTTGTTAATTTGCATAGTTGCTCTTAAATAAAAACATTCTCAGAAAATAAATACTTTTTTATGTATTAAAAAACTATAAAGCTGACTAATGGCTTGTCCGTTATTAAACTGGCACATAATTTATTTAGGTTTGTGACACAATATTGGAGCATGCAGAACACAGATTTACCTTCACAGCCTCAGAAGATTTATGTACAAAAAGTAAACCTGGAAATGAAATTATGTTTTTATTCTTTAAAGTGTTTTGTAATGTTTGTTGTTGTTAGCATTCATATAAATACTGGTGTGATAACTTAGTGCACATTTGATTGGTTTTTGGTATACATCTAGCCACCACTGAGTTAAATGCAAGTTTAATGCTTCATGACAAATACTAGTGATGTTAATGAGGCATGTTAAAGGAATAGTACACCCAGAACAACACTCTGGAGTACTTTTTTGATATCTCAAATGCATCTGGAGATCTGGGAGGCTTCTTGCTGTCTGCTGACATTCAAATAATGGAGGTCTATGGCGCCCGAGGCAGAAAGGTCCATAAAAGTCCACAAAAAACGTGTCAATATTCCTCCATACTGCTCGTCCAATGTATTCCAAGTGTCCTGAGTGGGTAGCATCCAGAATTTACTCGAAACTAAGTCATTTAGAATGTTTTTAGAGCATAAACAGTAGTGTATAGGATTTCCTGAAAGCGCGCACGTGCGCGCTCACGACGCTACGGAAGCCGGCAGACCAAACCAGCGCATTCAGCTCGGCAAAGAACTCATGCTCTTCCTCAACACTGAAGTCCTCAGACATTTTTCTTTCGTTGTTTCTTTCTTTGCACAGGTAAACAGCACATTTCTTCTTCTACGCTTGCATTATTGGCAGAGCAGACGCTGAATGCGCACTTTCATCTGGTTTGATCTGCCGGCTTCCGTAGCGTCGTGAGCGCGCATGTGCGCGCTTTCAGGAAATCCTATACACTACTGTTTATGCTCTAAAAACATTCTAAATGACTTCGTTTCGAGTAAATTCTGGACGCTACCCACTCAGGACACTTGGAATACATTGGACGAGCAGTATGGAGGAATATTGACACGTTTTTTGTGGACTTTTATGGACCTTTCTGCCTCGGGCGCCATAGACCTCCATTATTTGAATGTCAGCAGACAGCAAGAAGCCTCCCAGATCTCCAGATGCATTTGAGATATCAAAAAAGTACTCCAGAGTGTTGTTCAGCATGGGGGTGAGTAGAAAATGAAGGCTAATCATGTTTTGGGTGTACTATTCCTTTAAGGCCAAACTGCATTGATTCTGTCTCACAGAATACTGACACTTGCTGGACATTTAAAGGCACTACAGGCCTTATATGAAATAATAGAATATAACCTACAAAAACTGAACTTCTATCATGGTACTAGGTCATAAAATGAATTCAGTTTATTCTGTCCAATAGCTTATTTGACAGAATAAACTGAATTGATTTTATGACCTAGTACCATGATAGAAGTTCAGTTATTGTAGATTATATTGTATTATTTCATATCTGTGTTTAAATTGATAGTATCTTTGAAATTTTTAGATGCAGCCTATAAATAATGTGAACATTTATCAATACATCAAAATTTAGGGGAAAATGTTAACGAGGATGCTTATGGAGTAGGATTTTTAATCATAATTCTAAAAGTAGATTTATTAGTAAATAAACTAAGTCAATTTGAAATTAACTTTAATTCTGATAAGTTTAGTGATAACTGAAAGGAAAAGTATGATGAGAAAATAAAAATAAGAACCCAACGGCTGAAACGTTCCTATTCCTTTTAGGCTCCAAAATTCTTGATAATTTTAATAATAAACCGCAAAATATTTTTTAGCAGCTGCATCATTTTGACAGAAACGTTTTTAAACACAGTTTAGTGAGTCAGTCAGTTAGAAACAACTCCTGGATTGGTCACATGACCATCTGGAAACGTTACGTGCACCGATGCAGTGGGCTCTATGTAAATTATATTAATGTAAAATATTTTTGTCTTTCTTTTAAGATTCAATATTTGCCATCATTTCTTATATCATGTTTCTTATTTTGACAAATCAGATAGAAAGTTCGACATATTATTATTGAATTTCTTTTTCTACCACCTTATTATTGCTAAATGAACACATTTAGATTTTTTTATGATTTAACGAATGAAGGGCGTGGCCTTGAGAGTAGATGGGCGCGGTCTGTCCATAGGCCTTTATGGCAAGCCATTTTGACATTTATCCGAAGCGCTGTCCTCACTGTTGTTCCATTTGTAGAATACTAAAATAACATTCTTCCAGGTCAAAACTACATTCCTACTACTCATAACTATAAATATAGAATCCTAAATTACATGTTTTCCAGCAAAAACTACATTTCATACATAGATTGCATCAATAATCATTTCCGTAAAAGTGGTAATTTCTAATTTAAAGAGAATGTTAATTAAGGATATCCACAACTTTATTGTTCCTAGAAGAACTGCAGCTGTAGATATCTTTAATTACACTTTTACTAGTAAAAGTATATTTTAGATATCAGAAATAATAGATTGGGGCGCTTCTAGGATCAGAAGTTTAGGGGCTATCCACAACTTTATTAAAATCATGCACCTATTTAAGGGCAGAGGAGAAAAAACTTTATTCTTTCAGAGCCTGAGGATGTTTATCTGCTGGGATCAAAAAAGATTCTCAACCAGTAAAAATCCAGCTGCTTAAACAGATTTGCTGCTTTACTATTGGGAAACTTGACATTTTCTCATGTAAATTTTTGCAAATGTTCCTTTTCTTCTCAGCAACCTGTGAGGATTACCTGCTATTGGAGAACATGAACAAACTCACAAGTCTGAAATACATGGAAATGAAGGACATTACTATCAATATAAGTCGGAACCTGCAGGATCTAAACGACAAGTGTAAGACCTTCTGCTTAAAATAAAGCTGCAAAAAGAATAGATCTTTGTGATCGTTTGGTTTAATATGTTCTGCATTAAAAGAGTTTTTGGTTTGTTGATTCAGATGCGAGCCTACAGCCGTACCTGGACCAGATAAATAAGATTGAGGAGCAAGTTTCAGCTCTTGAACAAGCTGCGTACAAACTGGACGCCTACTCCAAGAAACTGGGTAAGATGTTCAGTACTCAGAAGTAGAGAGGTGTGTCATAGATCCGGAAAAGTCTTTATTTTTTCTACTGAGAAATCGTGGATTTTACACCAAACACTGGGAGCAGAGCTTGTTTTAGTGATCTATTAGTAATTAGAGGATAGTTTTTAATAATGACGAACATCAGATATGACGTTGTTCTGTTAGAGCAGCATCCCTACAGTCAATACGCATGAGCAGGACGTCAGATTTGCGTTTATCCCTTTAGTTTTGTATGAAAAAAAAAACTAAACTACCTCAATGGGCGTCTATCCCTTTAGTCATGTACAAAAAAAGCTATTAAAGGTCAGATTGCCATACGCTTCAAAAAACACCATAAAGTAAGTAATTTAGATTGCAGAGAAATCATATTTGAATGTCAAATCATTCTGGCTTAAACATGGATATAAATTTACTTTTTATCAGATCATATTGTCCCTAAAGTTTGTAAAGTTCTATAAAAAAAAAATCCTATCTTAAAATCGGTGTGTTTTTCGTTATCTTCTGCAGGCCAGTTAGTTCTACGTCAGCCTGAACACCTAAATTCAGCCAATCATATATCAACGGTCATCTGTCAATCAAATGTTTTCGCTCATAGCATCTTGACTCATATGTCGCAGCTAATATACGCAACGGTTGAAACCAGAATCCTTTCCTTTCCCATTGAGTTGCGTCCCAGTGTTCACGGGGATGGACGTCTGTGTCTTCGGCAGGCGTAGAACTAACAGAACTGGCAGCGTTGCGAGGCAAGGGCTCAAACATGTACGGCTGGAAGCCTTCTACACCAAACCAAGCTTCTGCCGCCCTGGCGTCCTCTTCCACAACATCTTCGTCCCCGCTTTCCTCCTCTAAATAAAAAATGGATGACGAAGGAGACTCATCCACGACCTCCGACACTAAACTCTCCTCCTCTTGCATGTTTCCGCTGTCCATAGCGTTCCTTGACAGCGTCGTTTCTAAGTCACCAATTTAGTGCTACTTGGTCCCAATGGAATTTCCCATTGGGAACCTGCTAGCACTAAGTTGCTAACTGGTTAGCATGATGCTTCGAACAAACTGGCCACAACCAAACATGCTTGTGAACCTTCCGCCACAACAATCCCGCCCCCTTGATAATCAACCAATCACATTCACTTTATTCACTCGTGTAAAGTCGTGCGCCACTCGGGAGAATTCAGAAATGCAACGGTTGGAACGGACGCTTCCCTACGACTTTAGTTTTTTGACCGGTGATGCTCATCTGACAGAACAAAGGCTCCTACGCCACCAGATGGACCCTGACAACATTTATCTTTACTTATCTAACTACTTTTACATTTCTATGTACACATAGGATACAATAGCAGAGGTGTCAAGTAAAAAAGTACAAATACTTTGTTACCTTACTCAAGTACATATTTTGGCTATCTATACTTTACTGGAGTAATAATTTTTTTAGACAACCTTTTACTTCTACTTCTTAAATTTCTTTTTGCAATTATCTCTACTTTCTACTCCTTACAATCTAAAAATAGACTCGTTAGTTTAGTTTCCTTTAAGCTTATTTTCATTTATGGCCTGTTGGGGTTTTAAAAAAATAAAAACCATCAAAATAATTAGTTTCATCCAGATAATTTCTTTGTGGTTGGACTCGGTGCTGCCCCAACAAAATAAATCCTTTTTCAAGATGATGCAAAGTTAAATTTGACACATTTACCATTAGTTATAAAACTAAGAAAATAAAGTCTAAGGAAGTTATCATCCAGAACTGTAGAAAAATGTTTCATTAAACATTAAACGAAAGGACGAGATCGCGAATACAAAATGAGTTTGCCTCACAGGGTGGCTGGGCGCACCCTTCCAGATCAGGTGAGGAGCTCAGTTACCCAGGAGGAGTTCGGAGTAGAGTCGTTGTTCCTCCATGTTGAAAGGAGCCAGCTGAGGAGCCTCTGGCATCTGTTCCGGATGCCTCCTGGTCGCCTCCCCCAGGCCCCCTATGTCCCATAGGGAGGAGGCCTGGTGGAAGGACCAGGACACGCTGGAGGGACTATGAGCTGGCCTGGTGTCGCCTGAAATAAAGAGGAAGAAGATGGATGGATGTTCCTTTAATAGGGTACTGCAGTAAAGTTTTCTGGCCTTAACATTTTTTCCTGCATTACTTTTACATTTAAAGTAATGAAAAAAAAAAAATGGTTCTTTCATACTTTTAATTTTGTAAAAAGATTCCGTTGATATTCCAACTTCTACAAAAGTTTTTAAAAAAAGTAGGATTTATACTCAGGGTTCCCGCGGGTCCTTAAAAAGTCTTAAAAGGCATTGAATTCTTCAAAATAAAACTAAGGCCTTAATTGGTATTAAAATGTCTTAAATCAGTCTTTCATAGGTCTTAATTTTTAAAACATCATAAATAGGATTTTTTTTTATTACGATTTATTTTGTAAGTTAAATAAAACGTTAAAATTGACCCTTTTAAAAAAAAATAAAAATAAATAAATAATAAAAAAAAAAACGGCTCTCCATTATTGGTTCCGTCCCGATAGCGGAACCAATAAAGCGTTGTTGCGGCCGGGACGTTTGGGAGATGCACCATGGAAAATATGAGAAGGGGCGTTTTTCAATTCACGAGAATGCGAGTACGTACTCGCGTTCTCGTCAAGTCCGTTCTTGGCGAGGACGCAGGAAGATCGGACTTGACGAGAACGCGAGCACGCAAGCACGTATGTGTATTGGAACAGAAGCGTACTCGTGACGTCATCACAGGCAATGTTGTTTAGCTTTTCTTTAACAGTCAAAACTATTTATTCCCTACACAAAACATTTTGAAAACAACATTTTTAATTTCTAAAGCTTAAAAAACATTAAAAAAAATTACCGAACCGCAAAAAACCGCCATCAGAACGAGCGGTAGTTCACACATAACTAGACCGAGAGAAGTGCACTACAGACGGGGTAAATTTAGCCCTGGCTGCGGTTACCCTCGGAGGTCTGCTGGTCACTCTGGTCCTCTCAACGTCTGACTTTTTTTTTTTTTTTATTTCGCACTAACTCTGTAAACAGGCCACACAGGGAGGCTTCAATGTATAATGTTATCGCCTCAAACGATTTCAAAACATACTTTTGAAGAACAACAGCAGCAGAAAAGGGAATGTTTAACTTAACACTGTGAGCGCTGTCTGGAATCAAGCTGCGGCCGCGGGGGATTCTGGGGAAGCGGTCAGTCTGAAGAACGCGCAAGTCTGCTCTGATGCATGCTCGATAAAGAGGGCGGGGTGAGAACAACATCCGGGGATTTGATGCGTTCTCGATCTGGCGTTCTCGAGAATTGGAACGGTACTCGGGCTGAGGCTGATGACGTGCCACGAGTACACGAGCACACGAGAACGCTCAAGAACGCATATTGAGAAACGGCCCAAGTGTAAATGTAACCAAAATTGTCTCCAGCCAAGAGTTTCCTCCATGGCTAAAACCAGGGAACATACATGAGGCTCAGTGGATTTAGTGCAAGAAGTCATTCAAGCTCGGAACGATGGGAATTAAGGCAGTGGAGTCGCACATGCGAAACGCGAAACACAAAGCGTCAAAATGGAGTTACAGAGAAACAGCCGGTATTTCTCAGTTTAGTTCCACCCTTGTCTCTGCAACGCCTCCACTTATCACCAAATCAAACATACTAAGAAAACCATACAAAGAAAAATAGCTGCAAAAAAGACTTAGCACTGGTTATGTTGGGGCTTTAAAACTGATTTGTTTTGTTCCCTGCTAAAACAAAGTTTGTGAATTCAGTTAAATAATTGTTCAAATATATCTGTCATTTGTGTGTTTTTAGCTTTCTTCCTGTATGGGAAGCTTTTCAAAATCTGAAACATTAGTGCAGTGGTTTATGTTAAAATAAACCTTTGGGTAAGTTGTCGCAAGCAGGTTTTTCTTGTGTTTCTTGTGAATTTGGTCTTAATTTTTATTTCAAGTGGCATTAAAAAGTCTTGAATTTAACTTGCCTTATGCTGTAGGAACCCTGATACTTCTACTTGAGTAAAAAACTTTAATACTTTTGAAACAATAGATGTAAATTACGGTAGTTTTTATAGGATGGCATTCTAGGAAGGTTTTGTCTATTTTAGAATAGGTATTCGTTTATTCTCAAAGTCTGAACAAACTTTTATTTATCGAAGGGAAATATTCTGCTTGTTTTTCTCTTTACAGAAGCCAGATTTAAGAAACTGGAGAAGCGATGAGGAAGAGAAGAGCAGGAAGATTTTTGGTTTTGGTGCCTCCCTGCCCTGCCCTCCGCTCTCTTCACCAGTTAGACTCTCCAGCTGCACCGGAGGATGAACGGATCCTCAAGCAACACTTGGAAAGACTTTGGAACCTCAATAGTTTGACGGAGGAAGAATCTTTATGCACATGAACTAAAACCAGTGTTTGCTTTAGATGTGGCTGCAGCATCATCCGTCTGTTCAGACGCTACCTTTCCTGAATGAAATCAGTGAAACATCCTCAACAAATAATGAAATCAAATATAAACATGTTTCGTTTATTTGATGTTACCTTTTTTAATAAAGTTGGACGTTCTTACGTTGATCTGCCTTTACTTCACAGTAGCTCTGAAATGTATACTTATTGTTCAGGCAGACAACAAACTGCTTAAAATGGAATAAAATTTTCAATCTTTAACTTATGGAAGATTGATGATGCATGTTGCGTACCCCTAAAACATTGGAACAAATTACTTAAAAAAAAAAACTTTTTCCAACTACTGCCAGCAGGTGGCGGTGTTGCAATATGATTTGCTCTTTAAGCTGTTATCAAGTTGTTTTCTTTTGCTGTGGGTGGGGGGGGGGGACTAAACCACTGTTTAACAACAAGGGCTCCGGTTACAGATTTCTCACAGAAATGAGCAGAGGGACCAACTGGGAGAAATGGGAGGCAGAAAGTTGAACATCCAAAGTAAAGGATGGATTTTCCAGCAGTCTGAATGTCAGCTGTCCCACAGCAGAATGCAGATATCTGTTCCCACCGGATCTCTCCTCTGAATCTATGCCACTCGCTCCACGCACGCAGGAATGTGTATTTGTGTGCAGAGCTTAATCTAAACCAGGTCTCTGTCATTAGTTGAGCTGAGAGCCTGGCACAGAGGGAGCTCATTATTCATACTGTAACATTATTTACTGCTGCTCTCTGATCCTTCCATCTCTCCTTCTCCCTGCTTTCTTCTTTCTTTCCGAGCCCCTCGGGTGTATCCTTCAATCCTTTCCTAAAGGCTGTCTGCTCTTGGGAAATGGGCTTTGGGTTGTTTTCTGGAGGCGAATTGTTCGTGCCATGAAGTATTCAAGCAAATTAGAGCAGGTAACATATTGGCCAAGCTTGGGTGGTTGTTGCATGGGCTGTGCTAAATAATTGGTTTAGAAATCAACAAGGTGAAAGGAATTCATGTAGTTTTATAGTTCACTTAAAGATTCCAGCTATACTGGAAAAAACCTGACTTTAGTGGTTTATGGAGCTTTGCAAAATTATCCCACCCCCTTTCCTTACCTTACACCCAAAAACATTTATTTGATATGATTTGAGGTGGTAGACCAAGAAGTTTTTAAACAGGTGAAGTTTGGATTTCTTTTTAGTTTCCATAGGGTGACACTTTATTAAACCCCTTTATGTAGAGATTAATGCCCGTGGTCAATAATCTCTACAACCATACCATACCAACTTTATTTATGAAGCACTTTATGCACCGGACAGGACCAAAGTGCTGTACACAATCATAAAATACAATAAAATTATAAAATAGAAAAAAAAGAGTGTAAAATACATTGGTATACAAAAAGAATAAAACAAAGTAAAACATCTCAAATTGTGCCAAAAACAAGGAAAAAAGATGAGTCTTAAGAAGGGACTTAAAAACAGCCAGAGAAGAGGCCTGTCTTCTGCTCAGAGGCAGATCGTTCCACAGCTTAGGAGCTGCCACAGAAAAAGCACGGTCTCCTCTGAGCTGCATTTTGTCTTTGGGACCCTCAGAAGCAACTGATCAGCTGACCTGAGGGAACGGGAGGGGTGTAAGAATGCAACAGCTAAGACAGATAAGGAGGGGCGAGGCCATTAAGAGTTTTAAAAACAAATAAAATAATTTTAAAATCAATCCTAAAATGTACTGGCAGCCAGTGTAAGGAAGCTAAAACAGGGGAGATGTGGTCGAAACAACGCCTCCCTCAGAAAGTCACCCCCCCTCTGTAATTCAGTCTAAGATTATTGACAATTATTGACATTTATTCAGTCATTTGCTCTCTTTTGCACATTGTAATTATATATACATACATATATATATATATATATATATATATATATATATATATATATATATATATATATATATATATATAGTTACATATGTATACATTAATATTTAAAGTGTGGAAAGTTGTATTTCTTTTTATAGTATTTTATTTCTTTAGATTGGAGGTCTTCAACAAGGGGTCCGCGGAGGTACTGCGTGGGGGTGGTGATAGTTTTGGTTGATTAGACTTTTTTTTTTTATATTCCCTCCTGCACTTTTTTTTCCACTAATTGAAATGTCTTTAAATCCACATTAACATGAATCCAACAGACTGTAGTAAACAGATAAATGGAGGCACAAGATGTCTTTCAGTCATCAATGCTCACATTCAGAGACACACAGGAGCTCTTTCAAGCTGGACACCGTTTCATTCACAACACCTGTCCCATCAACCAGGAATCAGAAATACTTTAATAGGGGGGGGTCACGTGACCGAGATCCGGGATGGCAGCACAGTGAAGAACTCCGAGGACAGTGGTCGAAACTTTCTTTTAAAACCCTTTTAAAAGCTGCAAGTTAGGCTAGAAAAATACGACACTGATATGTCTAAAGCGTCGTCTGTGAAACAGTGCGAAATATTTTCAAAAAGACGCAAGACAGCCATCAAAACAACACCGAGTGCAACGTGCGGCGAAGAAGCTAATATGGCTAGCATAGCTGAAGTGCTGGAAGAGCTAAAACTACTCCGGTCGGATTTTGGAGTTAAACTAGATAGTATAGATGAAAGACTGACTGGAATGGCGAACGCTATGACTACACTAGAGGCTAAAGTGTCTGAGGTTAAACAAGACCTCTTAAACCAGGCGGCTCATGTGGAGGAGGCCGAGGCTCGTATTGCCGAAGTAGAAAGTTCGGTTGAAAAAGCAGAAACAACGTTGACTTCGGCTATGAAACGAATCCTGCTCCTTGAGGCTAAAACAGATGACCTGGAAAACCGAGGAAGGAGAAAGAACCTGCGTGTCTTTGGAATTCGAGAAGGAGCAGAGGGAAGACAACCACTTTTTGACTTTATTAGCAACATGCTACCGAAGTGGCTGGAGCTAGCGCCTGATAAGTCATTCACATTGGAGCGGGTACACCGTACACCGGCCTGGGGAAATCTAACCAGGGCAGAGCAGTTCTGATTCGCTTCTTAAAATTCCCGGAGAAGGAATTTGTGTACCGAGAGGCAAGGAAAAGAGATATTATACAAGATGGGGCCAAAATCACGTTTGCACAGGATCTATCTGCGGAGACGGTGCGGATCAGACGCGGGTTTCACCCGGTGGTGAAGCTCTTTGTTGACATCGGTGCATTCCGCGGATTTCAACACAATCCCTGTAAACTTCGGATCCTCCACGGTGGAAAGATACATCTCTTCTCAACACCTCAAGAAGCTGAACAATTTTACAAGTCTCTTCCAAAATGAGCATAGCGGATGTTTCTGAGCAGTGAGTCATGAAAGACTAGCTGGTTGAGAAACAGGTACACGGATAAGACATGATATGTGGCTATTCCTGCTCTAACTGATCAACAACAGGAACATAAGCAGGATAAGTTCTAAGTTAGTGGACAGTTCATATAAACATAGCTGATTACTGATATGTGCTCACGTATTCTAATTCTAAGTGTAAGTTGAACTGTTTTTTTTTTTTTTTTTCTTTTTGGATCAATACTAAAAGTTAAGCCTTAACTAAGGTACTAACGTTCTATCAAGGGTTAATAGTGTTAATTTATTTTTATAGTAGCACTGTCTAATGTGTGGAGTTTTGGTGAGGTCACGTTGACTAGTTGCTCCTCAGTAGTGTGGATCAACGTCCTCCATATACTTGGTTTAAGGGGAGGGGGAGGCATTTCGAACATGGAAATGCAAAAGTTCTGTTGGGGGTTGTTCATGACAAGTTCTGTGTTTTATATGGTTGAATGTGTGATTGTATGTACAAACCTGCGTTTTCAGTACTATCTTTACTTATTTATTTTTTCTTTATTCAACAGTAAATTTAATAATCTGATATGGAGAAGACAACCAAAGGAAATGTTTTGAATATCAAAATCACAAGCTGGAATGTCAGAGGAACAAGGAAGCTAACTAAATTGAAAAAAGTATTAGACCGACTAAAATATTTGAAATCTAAAATAATTTTTCTACAAGAATCCCATTTAACTGAACTAGAAATACATCGGATAACCAAAAGATGGCAGGGCCTGGTATACCACTCTTCCTTTACCAGTCACGCCAGAGGAGTTATTACTCTTATACACAAGTCAATACCATTTCAAACTATAAAGACAATAAAAGACCCGTATGGGAGATATATTATTGTACAGGGACACATTTCAACATTAAAATTAAATTTGATAAATATATATGGACCTAACAATGATAACCCATCCTTTTATGAAAATTTATTTTTAACCTTGTCAACCCTGGAGGGACTTTATATCATCGGAGGGGATTTTAATTGCACTCTAAACCCAAGTCTGGACAAATCTACTCAAATTGATACCAGTCATACACAAACCAGGAAAATACTCCTTAATTATATAAAAGACTTAAGAATAAATGAAGTATGGAGAACAAGGAACCCAAGTAACAGGGAATTTTCATGTTATTCAAGCTCACACCAATCTCATTCGCGTATTGATTATTTTCTCATCTCCGTGGAGTTACTGCCTCACGTGGAAAACTGCTGGTACAATAGTATTGTAATTAGTGATCATGCTGCAGTGTCTCTGGAAATTAAAGTAAATAAGATTGATCAAGGGGTGAAACCATGGAGGATGCAAACACTTCTGCTAAAAGACTCAAAATTTGTTACATTTATAGAAACATGCATCGACAAATATTTTGAAATGAATAACAATGAAACGACAGCCAGTATTAGATGGGAAGCTTTTAAAGCTTATATTAGAGGAGAAATTATCAGCTATAACAGTAATAAAAATAAACAATATAATCAAGAGTTAAAATCATTAGAGAGACAAATCAAATCCAGCGAAGCAGAGCTTTATCAGAGCAATGATCATACAAAATTACATAAACTGACTGTTTTAAGAACCACATATGATAAATTAGCGACAGAAAAAGTGGCAAAAAACTTAATGTGGACTAAACAAGCATTTTATGATCAAGCAGAAAAGGCCGGTAAATTATTGGCTTGGAGGATAAAACAGATGCAAGCGGAAAGAACAATTAACAGCATAAAACTAAAATCGGACACTCTAACCACAGACCCTTCAGAAATAAATGAAAATTTGAGAGATTTCTATAAAA